ACAAAATCAAAGCTGAAAGATTGAAAATGTCAATTTCACAATACTTATAATATGAAATATCGGGAATACTAAAGTGGAGGAAAAAAAGTGTCTCACTCACCAAAAACGGACCAATCTATCATCTGGGTTTTTAAACCAATTTGTCTCTATAGGCTTTGTTTTTACCAATTTGGCAAAACCGCTTGTTTTTTTTTTACCAATTCCGTAATTTAGCCATAGTTTTTTAGGAGAGTAGGTGAAAGATGAAGGTGTGAGGGATTAGATGGTGACCGGTTCATTGCAAAAGGAAGATAGAGATGGAGATCTTGTGGCAAGCCTCAAGGTTGTATGACTGGACCCACAAAATCCTTATCAAACTGAATATAGTAACTAACAGTCGTTACACACCCTATTATCAACTGGACCCATTGGTTAGCAAAACTCCTCTGCAACATTATATTCTGTAAAAACTCCCAATCCACTCGATTATAAGCTTTGCTCGTATCTAATTTAAGTGCCACAAAACCCTCCTTACCGTGACTTTTTATCTTAATAAAATGTTGTGTTTCAAATGCAACCATAATATTGTCCAATATTGAACATTATGGTATAAATGCACTTTGATTTCCCCCACCAGAGAAGCCAAAATCTCTTTTAGCCGATTAGCTAAAACCTTAGAGAAAATTTTGTACACTACATCACACAGAGCTATTGGTCTCAACTCCCTCATATTCTCCGCCTTATCTTTCACAGATACCTAAGGAGAATTGTTTTATACATATACAAAATTAACCACCTAATATGCATGCGTGTCTCCATATGTGTGTGCGCATGTAATACACATACAAAATTAACCACCTAATATGCATGTTTGTGTCCCGTTTATATATATACAAAATCAACCACCTAATATGCATGTGCGTGCGCATCAACTACCCAGTATATGTGTGTTTGTATATTATAAACTATACTATGTATATCTAATTAGGATTTTTTATTAGCAAATATGCTAAATATCTATCATAAATTTAGAGTCTTTTAACTTTGATAAATACAATTATCAACTTATTTCACACATTATAAGTATAATTTCTATTATTGTGTGTTAGTGTATATTTAATTTCAAAAAGTTTGAAATAGATTTATATTTATTAATTACAAAATTGATTTACTTTAGTATGTTGTGCATAACCTAAAAACGCATTGGTTCATTAAATTGTAAGAAAAATGTAATGTTACAAATTAAATTCTAAAAACACATATTAAGTCATAATGGACCTGGGATAGAGGCAAGGGCACGTCGCATTGGGTGGAGGAAAAACTCGATCGTATTTTGGTGAATGATGCATGGTGGGATATGTTCCACGAGGCTCAAGCAATGTTGGTGGAAGCCCCGGCAAGTGATCATATGGCCCTGCATATGAAGGTTAAAATCTCAAACCCAAACAATAGAAAAAAGAGATTTAAGTTTGAAAATAATTGGGTTCATGAAGAAGAATGTAGAGTGGTGGTGTCGAATAGCTGGGGGGCGGCTGCCCATATGGCTATTAATGAAAAATTATTTTTTTGTGGGACTGAATTGTTACGGTGGGACAGAGGAAGGAGGCGGGGGTTTAGACAGCAGATTATTGCGTGTAAAAAAAGGCTGGCATGGTTGCGGGGGAAGGAGGATAGAGCTAGTGTTCTAGAATTCCTGAGAGTCCGAGCTACTCTACAAGTGTTGTTGGAGAAGGAAAATCTTTTTTGGAAGCAGCGAGCCAAAGAGTTCTGGCTTCGAGAGGGGGACATAAATTCTCGTTTTTTCCATAATGCTGTCAAACAGAGAAGAAGGAGAAATAAAATGACTGGTATCCGGAAAGCGGATGGGTCGTGGATTACGGACAGGGGTGAGCTGGGGGCAACTGTCTTGGATTATTTTTTATCTCTTTTTCAGGCTCCGGGGAGAACCAGCACCAATGATATTCGTGGAGATTTTGTTCAAGTTACGAATGAACAAAATAATATGTTGACTAGGCCTATTAGTCCAGAGGAAGTTAAGGCGGCAATTTTTGACATGCACCCGGAGAAGGCGCCGGGGTCAGATGGCATGAATCCAGCTTTCTTTCAGGCATATTGGGATATTGTGGGCCCGGAGATTTCAGCCTTATGTGCCACTATGTTTGAGACAGGTAAGTTGGCGGATAACATTAATATTACGAATATTGTTCTCATTCCTAAAAAAGAGAAACCAGAGGACATGGGCGACTGGAGACCAATTGCGTTGTGCAATGTGGTTTATAAAATTTTTTCTAAAGTGTTAGCTAACAGGATTAAGGGTATTTTGAGCTCTTTAGTTGGGGAAAGCCAGAGTGCTTTTATACCAGGACGATCTATTATTGATAACATCATTGTTGCCTTCGAGACTCAACATTTTTTGAGGAGGAAAAATACTGGAAAGGAGGGTTTTATTGCCCTTAAACTTGACATGAGTAAGGCATATGATAGAGTGGACTGGGATTTTTTGGAAGGAATTTTGATTAAAATGGGATTTTGCGACCGTTGGGTGCATATGGTAATGGAGTGTGTCAGGACGGTCAACTATTACATCCAGTTTGACGGTGATTTTTTGGGGCCTGTCTATCCGGGTAGGGGCTTGCGCCAGGGGGACCCCCTATCCCCCTATCTATTTATTCTTGTTGCTGAGGGGCTGAGTGCTTTGATTAGAAAAGCGGAACAGAGGGGAAACATTCACGGAGTGGCGGTCTGTAGAGGGGCCCCACGTGTTTCTCATTTATTTTTTTGCTGATGATAGCTTTTTGTTCTTTAAAGCTTCAGGTCATGAATGTAATGCTGTTAAGGAGATTTTGCAAGAGTATGAGGAAACTTCTGGGCAGGCGATTAATTTTTCCAAGTCTACGGTAACATTCAGCCAGAACGTTATTGACACCTTTAAAAATTATTGTTGTACTTTTTTTGGAGTGCCGCAGGAGGGAGGGCAACAAAAATATTTGGGGTTACCGAGTATTATTGGGAGAGGAAAATTAGCTATTCTTGGCTTCATTCGAGAGAGAATTTTTAATCGAATTAAAAGCTGGAATAATAGATTTTTATCTCGGGCAGGGAGGGCTGTGTTGTTGCGGAATGTGGTGCAAGCTATGCCTACTTATGCCATGAATGTATTTCTTTTACCCCAAGATTTATGTGATGAAATCGAAAAACTTATGAATGGGTTCTGGTGGAAAGGTACTAAGTTTGAACAGAGAGGTATCAGGTGGCGCAGGTGGGAGCTCATGTGTAAGCCGAAAGGTATGGGAGGCCTGGGGTTCAGAAAATTGAGGGAATTTAACATTGCCATGCTGGCAAAGCAAGGATGGAGGCTTCTTTCAAATCCGGAGAGCTTGATGGCGCGGGTTCTTAAAGCAAGGTATTTTCCTAATTCGGAGTTTTTAAAGGCCAAGTTGGGTAATAACCCGTCCTATATCTGGAGAAGCATTTTTGAGACCCAAGGAGTACTAAAGGAGAACATTCGAAGGAGAGTTGGGAACGGGAGAGAGGTTCAAGTTTGGGCGGATGCTTGGCTACCTGGACCCGGGGTTGGTAGGGTCCAATCAGCCAAACCGCCTGGTATTGTTGATATGAATGTCGCAGCCTTGAGAGATAGTACTGGGAAGAAGTGGAATACTGAAAGAATTGCAGCTATATTTAATAATGAAGAAAGAAAAATTATTTCAAGTATTCCTATTAGTTTGCAGGATAAACAAGATGGCTTCTGGTGGAGTAAAGAGAATAATGGGATTTTCTCGGTTAAGAGCTGCTATAGGGTTCTTATGCAGGGAGGGGAAGTTGGGGGATGGAACGGTTGGAAAGATTTATGGGAGTTAAAAATTCCACCAAAAATTAAACATTTTCTTTGGCAGGTTTTAGATGGATCTCTCCCTTCACTGGTGAATCTTGTACGAAAAGGAGTACCAATCCAGAATAGCTGCAAAATTTGCTTGCAGGGTGAAGAAACGTCGGAGCATGCTTTGCGATCCTGTCCGAGAGCGGCTGAAGTGTGGATGGAGGCGGGCATAGCTACTGGTAATGGTGAAGTCACGTTGGAGGTATGACTTCAAAACTTACTCTCTGTACCGGATAAGGAGAAGCGGTGTAAAGTTGCTATGTTGGTTTGGGGCTTGTGGAAGCGTCGTAATGCTCTAGTCTGGGAAGGAAATTGGCAGAGCTCGGCTAGTGTTATTAGTTGCTGTTCGAGTATGTTGTTAGCATGGAGGGAGGCTCAACAGTCTGCAGCAAGGTCATCGAGCCAGGCAAGGAGGGACGACCAGAGGTGGAAGCGGCCGAGCGCAGGAGTAATAAAGATCAATGTTGATGCAGCGGTTGACATTACACTAGGAGTGCGAGCTTGGGGCTGGATTGCAAGAGATGATCAGGGTGATTTTGTGAAAGCAGGAGGGGCATCATGCAAAGCGGAATGGTCTCCGGCGGAATCGGAGGCAATGGGTCTTCGGGAGGCTGTCCTGGCAGGAATTTCAGAGGGATGGGATAGGGTGGAAATAGAAACTGATGCACAAATAGTAGCTCGAGGGGTCCAAAGTAGTGAGGGTGCGGCATACATCAATTTGATTCTTGATGATATACGCTGTTTAGTTCAGACAAAGAGTAATTATGTTATCTCTTTTTGTAAGCGATCTGCGAATCATGCGGCTCATGCTCTAGCAAGAACGCATGTTACTATCTCAGATCATAGTAGCAGTTATGATTCTATTCCGGATTGTATTGTAAGCCACGTGGCGAATGACTTGTTGAATTAATGAAAGATGTTGAGTCCCGGTTCAAAAAAAAAGTCATAACATGTTTTTATAATATAAAAATACAAGAAAAAAAGTTATTTTAAAATAATATTTGACTAATATTTAACTTATGCTCAAATAGATTCGATATTCATTAACGATTCATTGAATATTCGTATTGGACAAATACAAATCCAAATTAATATTTGATTTCGTATTCGAAAAAGTTTAATGAGTACAAATACAAGATCCCACTGTTTGGCTATTTTACAACCAACTGAAGAGGAGGAACTTCAAGCGACAAAGCGGCCGACTGGACCGAGGGATTCGACGGAAGACCAAGTCAACGACGCCTCTTTCGCCGCTAACCCGCCACCGCGCCCCGCCTCTCCAAGACCAGGACTCCACCGCGCCCCTTACTGCCTCGGACCTCGATATTTGGTAAGCATATACGGAGTATGATTTTCTGAATTTTCTCTTTTCAATTGCAAATTAGGTTGTTATCTGTTTGTTTATTGAAAAAATGAAGTAATTCAATTGTAATTGTATTTAACAATTAAGAAGTTGTTTTAAGTATGTTATAAGAAATTGGCTCCAGTCTTTCACAATTTTGATGTCCATGCCTCTATGATTTCTTATACGGAGCAGTTTGTAAGGTAACTTGTTTTTGTTCTTAAAATTTGTTTCAGTTCTTTGCTCTTCCATGTTTCTTTAATAAATTTGTCCAATAATTTTTGGGTACCCCTCCCATGTCTGTAAAACCTCCACCTGCAAATACAATTTTTAAGGATTGGACTTGAGAAACTTATAAGTAGATATGAATGGTCTCCAAGAACTCTAAATACTGATTTTTCAGCATTTCTCATTTTTTTACACAAATATAAAACTAAATAAAGTATATGGAGCATCTCTATCCCTTTGATACAGTATACTATTTTTTCAATCTGTGTATTGATTAATCTGTTCAATTTTAATGATATAGCTCACTCATTTTTAATAGACATATTTGAGGAATAACTACACTATAAAGAAAAAAGATTAATTTTGTTTTATTAAAATTATAATGGTTTCTCAATTGTAATAGAAATATGGTTGAAGAATATACTTTCATGGATTCAAGCTCTTATATCAGATGGAGGCTTTGGGTAGATGATAGCAAAATAAGGCCTCTTGTTTAATTTTGACAGGGTCTCTAATTTGTCAGGGCCGGCCTTGTTGCCAGGTAGCGGTACCTATCATCAGCGGCCTACAAAGCACACCCCCATGGCCTCCGCTACACCTCCGCCGCCGCCGCCGCATTCTACCTTCACCAGCGGCCTTCAAAGCACTAGGAAACCTCTAGGTTTATTCGCCAATGCTAAGAAGAGAAAACACAGCTTTGTTCAATTTTTCGCGATGACTGGAATTCTGCTGTTGAGCGTCCGCTCTCTGGGACAGAAATACCGAATCAACGATCTCCAAGAGGACATGGCAGGGCTGAAAGAAGAGGGAGATGGCCTCAGTAAACGAATGGATCGCATCAAGCAAAGCCTTTTAGCCGAGGCTGCTGCCGATCGCACCGGCCTCTTCGCTTCACGGCTTCGCCTTCTCTTCGCCAAAGACAAGAAAGACTAGCCTAGTCTTACTAGCTTGCAATATTTTCTACCGGTTTTTCCTTCCGTGCATATCGATGGTCCTGAATCACAACATGTTTTCAATTTGGAATTTATGATATATTGAGAATGAAAGAGAAAAATAATGTTTCAGTTTATTCATGTGAGGTGGCTCAAATATGAACTACAGCATTCAAATACGGAGTAGGTGTTAATAGCTAGTTTACCAATGCTATTGAAACATAACCCTTAAGCCCTATCAATCAAATGTAGTATTTAACAAGAAGTGTGAGGTTTCCAAGAATGGTTTGATTTTGATATATAGTGGCTGAATGATTTGATCTGATATGGGTGATATTATGGATTTCTATCTAGTATCATATTGTACTACGTAATTGATTCTGCTAATGCTAATGCAAGCTTTGTTTGTGGCTTGGGTTCAACTATGATGTGATATTAGTTTCCTGTTTTTCATTTCATTATGATGTGCTATGTTCAATACATAGGTGATACCGCATAGGAGTCTGGCTTCCCTCTCCACCCCCTAATCCTTTTTATGCTCTGTCTGCACCTAACACGGTTTAGATCGTTTCTTACAAGTATGTATAAGTGTATATTACGCAGTGCTGTCAAGGCACTTGTTTGTCTATAGTGTCTACCATCATTTCCTACCCATCAAAGTTCACTTGCCCATTCAGAACCTTTCGTTGGAGCTTCATTTCTTCTTCCCTCCTGTCTTCTTTCAATGAGAGTTTAGAATATGTGATTGTCATTGCTCTGGAGGAGGACACTCAGCTGATTGCACATTCATTGATCACGAGCAAGCTAATAGAATGCTATGCATTAAATCCAATGAGGTGGTGGGAGAGAGGCAGACCCTCAAGTGGTACAAGGGACAAGGGATAAAGAAGTTGAATAAATAACAGACTTAATAAACCCCAAAATTGCTCGAGTATGGAACACTTATTATTGCTACTGGATGCACAACCCCCAAAAAAGTAAAGAAAGCTGTAGTGGTTGGCGGTGGCTACATCGGTATGGATGTAGCAACAGCTGCAGTTGTTTGGACACTTGATACAAATGTGATTTTTCCTGATAAGCATCACTTGAGTCTTGCCGGAATTATTTACTTTGTTCCACTTCTTTGGTTACAAGTATGAACAACTACACGAAGAGAGCGGTGTCAAATTTGTTTGGGGTTCTTCAATACAACACTTAAAAATTGGTCCCGGTGAAGGATGTCTACTCATAGTTAAACTTGGAGATGGATCTTTCTCTGAAGGAGGTGCAAAACCTCCTGTCAGCCCATTTGAAATGGTTGGCTTAGTTATTACTATAGGTGGACATCAGGTTGATAGTCAATTCAGATCAAACAAACCTGGATTTCGCTATTGGAGATGTGAGATGTCACAGTGTTTTCATTGAAGCCCAAGTACAATGTTGCACCAAATTTTTGGGGACAATGCTGGTGAGAGGGTGAGAGCGAGATAGTGGAATTTTAAACAAAGGTTGCAAAATTTTGGATAGTCTCGAGTAAACTGTGGTTTTAGCAAGGAGTCAGTCATTTATTGACAAAGCCCAACTCCAACGCAAATCTGCACGTCTTCTTTCGAAGCAGCTCTAGATATGGTTCTAGCTTCCCTTGCCAATGAAGCACAGAACTGTTATTCGATGTTAAACGTTCATAAAATGATAAATAAAAAACACTCCGTAAAATAATTTACATTGGGTATCTGTGTTATTGCTGCTAAGCTTTAAAGAATAAGAGCTTCGCCTACCCTAGCAGCAATTCGCTTTGACATAGTAGTAAGCACTTGAGATCTAATAGATAGTACCTTTAACTAACAAAAAGTGTTCCATTTTAGGTTGAAGGAGAGCAGCAATGTATAAAGATGTTTTTCCACTTACTAATTTAGGATAATTTTAAAAGGTGTTTAAAACATGCTTTTGTGTCAAGAATCATTGGGCAAACACCTTCCCATACAAGGGATGTACAAGGTAAGGTCAGAATTGGGATTTGGATTCCGCCTTCGAGGAAAAATGTTAGGTTCCAGATTTTGGGTACCGGAACGGGCAGTTCGAGTACCAGTTCTATTGGCTTGGACTCAAATGTAAAAAAAAAAAAAACAGTTCGGTATATAAACTGTGATTGCTGAGAACCAAATAACAGGTTCTTGTTAAATCTTCCCCATTTCCAGAACAAAGATTTTGGAAAGGAAACTGAATTGTCCTTGTCCAAGTGGCTGTTCTTTTCCAACCTGATGTGACTATTGAGTATATATTTTGTCTACCAACTCAACCAATCTTTGCTGGATTTCACTTTGTTTCACTGCAATATAACAATTTAACAATAGACAATGTCATGACTCATGAGTTTTGGTGCATCTGTTTACAAGCACAATAATAGAAATTGTAGTAGTAAAGTGACACTGATAGAACTGGTCAAGTTCCCATTTTTAGGCCAATTCAAAAAATGTTAAAGAACTAGAAGGAGAGCAGCAATGTATAAGCACTTGAGATCTAATAGATAGTACCTTTAACTAACAAAAAGTGTTACATTTTATGTTGAAGGAGAGCAGCAATGTATAAAGGTGTTTTTCCACTTACTAATTTAGGATAATATTAAAAGTTGTATAAAAGATGCTTATGTGTCAAGAATCATTGGGCAAACACCTTCCCTTACAAGGGATGTACAAGGTAAGGTCAGAATTGGGATTTCGATTCCGCGAGGAAAAATGTTCGGTTCCGGATTTTGGGTAATGGACCCGCCGGTTCTGAACCGACGGTTCCAGTTCCAGTTCTATTGATTTGGACTCAAATGTAAAAAAAAAACAGTTCGGTACATGAACCCTGATTGCTGAGAACCGAATAACATGTTCTTGTTAAATCTTCCCCATTTTCAGAACAAAGATTCTGTGAAGGGAACTGAATTGTCCATGTCCAAGTGGCTGTTCTTTTCCAACCTGATGTGACAATTGGCTATATATTTTATCTACCAACTCAACCAATCTATGCTGGATTTCACTTTGTTTCTGTCACGCCCCGGACCGCATCCGTGCCACGTAGACAACCGCCTTACGACCCAATAAGAACAACGTAGTTCATTCTCATCAAATCATACAAGGCGTCAGATAAATTTCCGTTGCCAAACCGATTAGTAAATCCATACAATCAACATCAATATATTAATCAAACAAATGTGGAAATAAATTATGTTTGATAATGAGCCACACGTGGCAACCATGGGCACGCAGGCCCTTCAATAGTTTAATAGGAAATATCGTTTAAAATATCCATGAGCATAATTATAAGTTAAACCGAGATGGGAAGTACGAACCACGTCTTCCTTATGTGACAATCACCCTATGTAAAGGTGCAGGTAGCAGGACTCTAGCCTTAACCTGAAAAATAGTGAGGGCCCCCGGAGGGGTTAGTACTTCACAGAAAGAAGTACTAGTGACAAGCAGGCTATATGAAGAATAACTAATGTTTCAGACACGAGACCCAAAAATAGGGTGATACATATATGTAGTTGTCACTCATCCGCCCGATGATACATACTATATATATATGTGTGTGTGTGTGTGTGTAAAATACTCAACCCTTAGGTCATTTTCATCAAAAGAGTCTTTTAGTGATAAAGTTCTTTCCTGACTTTTCTCACTCCTTTCCCGAATGCTTAGCTTACAAGCTACATTCTACATTGATAATATCCTACCGAGTTTTGGGAGCATTTAGCGTCCCGAGGATACTCAACCCCATCCGAGTTTCAGGATTGTTTACCGTCCCGGGGATACTCAACCCCAACCGAGTTTCAGGATCATTTTCCGTCCCGGGGATACTCAACCCCATCCGAGTTTCAGGATTTTTTACCGTCCCGGGGATACTCAACCCCAACCGAGTTTCAGGATCATTTTCCGTCCCGGGGATACTCAATCCCATCCGAGTTTCAGGATTGTTTACCGTCCCGGGGATACTCAACCCCAACCTAGTTCGTTACCAAACCCTAACCTGGATATGGCTAACCTTTCATTCCTCTTAACTATGGACAATACCTAGCCCTATAGTCATATAACAATCCTTAGTAACCAACGTGAACGGGTCCCACCTGATCGGCCCACGTTAACCTACTCAAAAACTACCCGTTTTGAGTATAACCCAATACTCGATCGAGTACCCACCTATACTCGGTCGAGTACAGGAGACAGTAACCCGTAAGGCTAATTTTCAATGCATACTCGATCGAGTACCTACCCATACTCAATCGAGTAGAGGAGACAGCAGCCCTTGGGGCAAATTTTCAGCAAACACCCGGTCGGGTAATTGCCAATACCCGGTCGGGTAAGGTAGTTGACTTGGCGGTCAACGCCCGTTTGACCGTCCAAACGGAGTCCGATTAACGTGAAATTTTATGTGCAAGTATTATTTGATGTCCTTAGTCCAAAAATACCTATTTGGGTCCTTAGAACATCATACACATTAATTTATGATAATTTCACTAATCAAACCTACAAATCATATCTTCCAACTATGTTATATTCTTAAACACAACATAACACATGCTTTAATACCATTAATCAATCCGTAAAACATATTCTTGATTAATTTAGGTAATCTCATGCCTCACGCAAAAGTTATAAAGCATATAGCCGTCTTCTCACCTTAAAAGAAGCTTAGGAAGTTCTAGCCCTTCTTATTGAGCTCCGGTGAAACTCCGGCGAACTTCAACGAACTCCGGCGACCCTTTCAACTCCGTGAAAGTTCTTGGAATACCTTATACAAGTTAATAACAAGGTTTTATCATCATAAAACCCATATCAACACAAATAACCTCTAAAAGGTTATTTTCCGGTGAACCCGTCAACTTTGCTTTCAAAGTTCGTTTTGGGTATAGACCAACCCTCCAAATCATTCTACACTTTTACATGTGTAGAACCATCCTAGGAGTATGAAATAGGATTAAAGAGAGAAAATGAGATTAATGAAGTCATTACCTTATTAACCACAAGTTTTCATTCTAACTTCCTCCTTCCTCTTCTCCCCTTTTCCTTCCTTCTTCTTCCTCTTCTTTTTGTGCAAAAATGGCTGGAGAGATGGAGTGGTTCAGGGCTTCTTACTCCCTGGATGATGAATGGTTCGAATGGATGGGAGTTAGGGGTGATGGGAGTGGCATTGTGGCTTATTCACAATGATGAGAGGTGAGGGGTCCCCATGGAGTCAATTCTTGTCTCTACACCCCCCTTAGCTGATTCTCTCCTCCAAAGTCAACATTTGCACACTCCTCTCCTCAATCAAGGCTGGGAAAAAACGTGGGGTGCCCCCCCTTATGTGGGAGGTCATCCCTTTGTGTCCCGACGTGTACAATTGACCCCGAAAGTTGTATTTCTCAGACTGTTTTAACTATATTTCGTTTTACCGGGTAAAATGAAATATCTATCATTCTTCCAATTATTATTGGCTATAAGAATGAATGTTTATCCCCCAACTTTAATTTAGTGGTCTCCATAATTTGTTATGGCCCTTTATCTGTCAGTACTTCGGTACCGATAAATGGGCTTTATATGCCCTATTGGTAACTCACATAGTTTATATGGTCCAACAAGGATACCCACCATTATACACATATTATCTTGACCCAAACAAATATAATATGTGATCCCGATAATATCGGGCGGCCCCCACTTCCGGTGTGGGCCCCACGTGAATTTTACTATTCACGTAAAAGAAATGATAAAAATTTACAATCACGTAAAATGCGTTTATTCATTTCTCAGGGTTCAATACATAATTTGATAAAGTACAAATACTTGGAGGCGGTGTTACAGTTTCACTGCAACATAACAATTAACAATAGACAATGTCATGACTCATGAGTGTTGGTGCATCTGTTTACAAGCACAATAATAGAAATTGTAGTCGTTAAGTGACACTTATATAGAAAACGTTAGAAGTGGTCAAGTTCTGATTTTTAGGCCAATTTAAAAAATGTTAAAGAACTATAACTGATCAAGTCCTATTTTGGAGTTGTGGAAGAAGTTTTCCGGTACGTAAAACTGGTTCAATATCTTCATAAAAAAACTAGCCGATCCCGGGCTCGTTCGGAGTATTTAGCAGAGTTGGGAGAATAGGAGGATTAAATATCTAGCGACATGACTCATGAAGTCATGAGCTTGCACCTGTGTGGCTGTGTACATAAACCATGAAAGTGTTCTAACGGCTCATTGGAGACTATTCCATTTTTGGAAGAAAAAGAAAATACTAGGAGGCTAATTATGTAAAGACAGAAATGTGTTTGTTTTTTAATACGGAGTATCATTCTTACATTTAATACATACTTCGTATATACTTCTGCCTTGCACTTCCCAATTAATTTTTTTATTGGATTTCAAAGAAACGATTATTAACTTCTAGCATTATTAATTAAATGAAAAAGTGATTATAATATTTCAAACTATGAGTGGTCTGCTTTTAATCATCCCGATTACGTGGTACTCCCTCCGTTAAAAAATGAACTTCTCACTTTCCTTTTCGGGTAGTCCCGAAATTAATTTCACACTTCAAAACTTTCCTTATTTGGCAAATAATCTACATTAAAAAGTGTCAAAGAGTGTCCAAACAGTGTTTAAACATTGCAAAACAGTGCACTCCACAGTAAAGTCAAATTTATTTTCTTAATCTGTGTGAAGTCAAACTGTGAACTTAATTACGGGACGGAGGGACATATCCTTTTAAATCGTATCAAGAGGTTATCCTCTCTAATTAGACTGGATGCCAGACACCAATAGAGTCGTATTTTTTTTATCATTAAACGGGCCTCTATTCATATCAAAAGATTCACGATCATTACATCAAGCAAAAGGAAAATAAAACTGACACCAACTGAAACTTCAACAACTACGACTGTAACTCTATGTTGAGACTTTGACACGGTCACCCCTGAGAGAGCAACACGAATCGCTAACCATGTAGTGGGCTTGACACAGCCAAACCTATTTCCATAGATCCAACCATACCCAATGACATAAAGAGAGGCAAAAAACTCAAACAAACTGTCAAAACCAACAACAAAAGTGGACACAAGAAAACAAATAACAAACAGATAAAAACTACAAGAAAAGCGTTCACGAACTCTAGCACCTCGTACATCCCATGGTGGTGGTTCAGGAGGAGGTCTTACCACCGGTACCATGCTAATTGATACTCTGTGACCTTTGTCTGCCAAAGGCCATGCATCAATCCTCCGTCCCTGCATAACCAAACTCATCCCTGCTTCATGCAACCAGAGTAAACGGATAGGCGGCGCCGATCTTCTCCAACGACGACAGCAATACATCATCCTCGAACCTTGATCACAATGCCGATCTCCTCGAGCCATAGCAGCAAATCCGCCCTTCGAGTATGAAGCACAAACAACAACAGCCGTCCTTCGATTAAAATCGAAGACGGAAATAGCGGCCGTCCTTCGATTAAAATCGAAGACGGAAAAAGCGGCCATCCTTCGATTAAAATCGAAGACGGAAAAAAACTCCAAGCGGCCGAAGCCCTAGAGAGAAGCAAGAGACGATCGTCAAGCTATTTGGCCAGTTGAATTCAAATACTCAATCGTTCCATGACCGAATCTAGATAAGTTGAACAGTAATTCTAAGAACTAAAAGGGAGTTCAGGAATCATCCACCGTTTCCCTTCAAGAATCACAAACGCTCACGAATTCCATATGTTTCAATAGAGTCGTATTAAAAAAACTCATTAGACACCTTATCTTCATTGGCTCCTCTCGCTGAACTCATAAGTTTCATCTTTTATACGATAGTATTACATGTGTCAATCTTTGTTCTTCATCGCAAACAGATTTTCTTCTGTGAAGGAAAGAAACCAAAGGTGAAGCACTGAAGCTGAAGCGGACTCGTGAAGATTGAAAGTTATACTACATGTAAAGATTGTGTCCTTTTCATTCAATTTGATTGAAATTTCAATCAAGCTTAGTGGAAGGGAGTACAATGGTAGTTCAATTTCTATCGTACAAGATGACATGAGTTATTATATGATAATTAGTAATGCTTTGTACATTTTGAGCATTTCGGGTTGTATTAGTTATTGTATTTAGGATAATTACTTGATCATTTTAAGGGTTTTACTTGCACAAACATAGTGTTATTATTAAAAAAAAGGCCTTTTTATTCCAACTAGTAAACTCACCCGTGCGATGCACGGTTTGAGAATTTTTCTTTCTAATTTATGTATGCTTAGTGATTCAAATCACACTATCAGTTGATGAAAACATCTATCTTCATGTAATACTAATATATATATATACATACATACATACATACATACATACATACATACATACATACATACGTACGTACGTACGTACGTACGTACGTACGTACGTACGTACATACATACATACATACATACATACATACATACATACATACATACATACATACATACATATATATATATATATATATATATCAAATCATTAAACGAAACACACTTATAATAGTATGGTCAAAATGAGAGTACTAAGCATTACATAAAAGATGAAAAACATCCAACTAATACGTTGAAACCATAACATTGTAAATATGCATTCGATGTAAACCTAAACATTGTTGAACACTTCTTTGAATACTATTCAAGAACTCAGATGTGTGCAGTTCTACCATTAGATCGGTCGTAGAATCTACCTTAGAAACACTGTCAGAACTAAGATATGTTCTTGAAACTTCACCAACATTAAGAGCTGTCATATAGTCATTAACAGCTTAAACCTACCACAGCCAGTGTCGGTGTCAAAATTGCACGGGCGCCCAAATAACTCATATCACTTGCAGATTCAACATATTCCAGAAATATGCTTTCAACATTCACAGCTATAGGATCTCCATCTGTGCGTATCAATAGATATTCAGGAATAGTAATACGAACATGACCATCATTACTTTCACCCGCAACACCGTCACCAATGTTGGCAATCCAATCTGAAAAGACCTTCAAATTGTAAGAATATGATGGATAAGTCGTGTTTAACAGGCGCATATTTTTTGTCAAATGAAGGACTGTGCATTATGACCACAGATATGATGAATTAATCTTCGCATTGACTACATCTTGTTTACTCCCATGAGGTATCATTGGCAACACCTGCCGAAAATCAAAGGGTTATATAAATTAATTGAAGATAAATTATTTATAATATATGACTAAGTAATAAAGTGACTATAAATTTACACGAATTGCATTTTTTAGACGAATTATCTCTCTAAATAGGTAAAATAAGGGAGTAAAATATGTGAAAGTGTGTTATGTCATTCTTGAATTATACTTGAATCTAAATTTGTGGGAATATTCAAGTATGGTCGGGTCTGGTTTGTTTAAGGATGTTTTTACTTGGACTGTAATTTGCCCCAGACCAGACCAGTCCAGACCAGACCAGACCAGACCAGACTTGGATAGTTATAGAAATACAAAGAAACCAGACCTTACCAGACCAGACCAGACCAGACCAGACCAGTTCAGACCAGACCAGACCAGACCAGACCAGCAAATTACAGTCCAAGTAAAAACATCCTAAGTTTGGTTTGGTTTGAGACTGAAATAAGTCTAAGTGTAAACATCTCAAGTAATATGGTGACTATGCATTTATATGAATTCCATTTTTTACACGAATTGCCCTGGTAAATTGGCAAATCAGGGGGGGTGCAAGTATGTGAAAGTGTGTTATGACATTATTAAATAATACTCAAATATGATAATTCTTCAATCGGGCCTTAACCGGCTCTATTCGATCCTAGACCGAACCCGAGCTAATGAAAGTCGACTCGAACTAAATGTAAAGGATTTTTTTTCGATCTCTGATTTTCATAACCGATATCTTATGAATAATTTTTTATATCATCGAAAAACCAACAGAGACCGGACAGGTCCCACCCTTAACGCCATCATCCAGAAACCCGACCAATAATAAGATTATGTGAAATGTATTACTCAAATTTTACATAGAAGTAACTTTAGTTTTTTTAAAATAAATAATTTTCCATATTTGATTTATACTCAATTATGAAATAAGTCTTAACAAATTCTGTTTTAAATCGGTCATAACAAATTACGTTTTAGAATCTTTATCTTACAAAAGATATTTATTCAAAACCGTCCGGAAGGTCATCATTTTGTACATTTATCCGTTCTCTATTAATTGTCGTGTATTCCTTTTTGGACATTTAATTATTTGTCCATATTTCTTTTTTTGGTAAGTTTTTTCAATCAAAGTACGCATATACTCCACTTTTACTACTCTTATCTCTTCCGCTATCTTACTTTATCATTTAAATACAAATTAGTAAAATTACTACAATTTTCATATTATCCTCATTATTTTCCTCTTAAAATTCGTGCCAAAACAGTGAACAATTCATAGAGATCGGAGGGTGTATCTACTTTGAAAATTGTTCTTAAAATGTTTAATACAACGCAAAATAAACTTTTTTTAACCCGAAACTCACCCAATTAGATGCGGTAAATGTGGGGAAAACTTAAATGCGGTAAATTAGATTGGGGGAGAACTCACCCAACGTAGTACATACGGAGTAGTTTATTAAGAAGAATGGATATATATACAGTAAAAGGGAAGGGCACAGGCCTAGCCCCAAATCAAAAAATTCAGAGATAAATAGTGAATAAAAACACATCTTGGGCTAAGTAGTCTCTCAAATTATCCAGTCCAAAAAGAATGTCGCACAGCCTAGGACATAGTAAGCCCAGAAAATAAGATTTCCGGCCTTAATATCAACCCTCGTCTTCTTTTGGCGTCCAAATTCGAGAGAGAAGGTGCGAGAGAAATCTGGACTTCTCCGGTGTTTACCCTGCATTCCGGAACGGGATCTCGTTGGGGGGAGAGGGAAGACTGAACGCCTGATATCCTAGGGTGTTGTTCTCCGGAAATGGAAGGCATTGGTGAAAAAATTCTGGGCCCGAGGATAGTGACGATGTTCGTTTCCATGGGTTGAGCACGACCTGGGTTCATGGTGTTGTCCGCCGCCTGGATGTGCGATTGCATAATGTCAAGGCTTCCCGGTAAGGTTTTTTTTCCTTATGTTCGTTTCATCCGTTTGTTTTGGCTCGATCTGACCATTTCGTGTTCTGATTTTGTGCATGTCTCTTGGGTTTGGGTTTGAGACATGAAAGATTGTGTTTGGGTTGTTTGGTTTGTGTGTTGTTGAAGTATTCTCCATGCTAGAATTCGTTCTTTGTGGAGATCACATTAGTTGAACTCATCTTTCAAGCTTTCAGATTATTTATTAATACATTCACATTGAAGACCTATTTAGAAATTTTACAATCTTATTTAATACATTTAACATTTCTACTCTATTTTAAACAATGTATTCACACTGTATTGTCAAATGGAACCATTTTTATACCAATTTATGAAGTTCGTAATGTAATAATTAGAAGGGAGCAGCATCGAGCCTAAACTTGTTTTTAAGACTGACATTTTAATTTTGTGATTTAGTTATGCTTGTACTTGCATATTTGTTTAAAGCATATAAACCAACAAATGATCAAAATTACTTGATAATTACATCTTTAGAGTACATGTGCTTGAAAACTAACTATTACAAAATCATTAATACAAATTTTTTATAAAATTTTGCAATGAATTACTTAGGAATGTGAGCATGTATCTTTGACACCTATAGATTTTTTTACCAATTAGTTTTAATATAACTTTATAAGAAGACATAAACTTGAACCTTTAATACAGATATAGTGAGACCCTGCATTTTATTTGCTGCGGTTTATCTCCAAACTCTAAAATAGTTCTGTACACACACATTTGCATCTTAATTTACACTCACATATACATATGTAATAGTGGTTTGTTTTTATAAGGAATAGTGATTCTAATTGAGCTTTATATACACTTATTTAAAATTTTAGAAGCAGATTTGGCTATTCAAAGTCTATATTTGGTGATCGTCTGAAGAGTTTGTTGAATCTTTTACCTTTTTAATAAAAAATGAAGTAGATTAATAAAAAAAATGAAGTATTTTTTTAGCCCAAAAGTCACCTATTGAGTGAGGTGTGAAAGTAATTTTTTTTTTACTTCATTATGAGTATAGCAGATCTTTAATTTTACTATTACGACTTTGTTACTTACTTTTGCTACTTTGTTGTATTAAAAAGTTTATTACTTGGTTAGAGTGTTGTATAACCTATTTATAATATGCATGTCTGCTGATCTTCTTCCATTAAAATTTCAAAATATCTCCTATATTAAGAACATCGACATTTAAAATGTTGTTGATAGTTGCATCACTGATTTAGTATCTTCTGAGCTTGTGGATTCATTGGATCCTTGGAATGTTTTTGTGTTTGAACTTTTGAACAATGGACCATCTTCAACTGATATTTTTCTTTTATTCCTTTTTTTCTTGTACTTGTTATGTAGTTCTCTACCCTGCCAAAACAAAAATCTCATGCAATGCACGGCATGAGTTTTTTTTTAATTATATTTTTGAACAGTTCAAGACACTTTATTATACAATATTGTTGAAATACGTCATGCAAAAAAGATACACATAATCGCAATATACAATGTCATGCAATAAAGATACACATAAACGCAATACACAAAACACATCTTTAATATTAGGATAAAATGAGATTACAAAACATGACCTAAAAGTTCAAAACCATCACACAAATACGTCGAAACCATGACGTTGTAAATATCCGTTTCAAGCAAATTTAAATATTGTTGAAAACTTCTTTGAATACCACATTCTGAGTCTTGTTAGTGGTTCCTTCATCATCAACAACAATTAGAATTTTCAAACCACATCGATTGGTCACCCTCAAAATTGCATCATACAACTGTCCGAGGGTAAATACAGCTTTTTTCAATAACAACCCAACACGGGACAAAAACTGACCTTGACTTTTATTTATCGCCATAGCGTATGAAGTCATAACAGGATATTGGTGCCGATGAAATTTGAAAGGCAAGGTGGTATCTAATGGTGTCAAGGACAATATTGGAATTAAAACTTTTTGTCCGGCACTCAGACCAGTTAAAATCTTCCCCAACAAAACATGATCACCAAGTCTCGTTAGAATAAGACGTGTCCCATTACACAACCCCATTAAATGATCGATATTTCGCAAAAGCATCACCAGGCTTATATTTGGTTTGTTTAAGTTTGGTTCAGGATAATACTGAAATAGGTCTAAGTATAAACATCTCTAGTAACATGGTGATTATGCATTTATAAGAATTGCATTTCTTACACGAATTGCCCGACTAAACTGGCAAATCAGGGGGTGTGCAAATATGTGAAAGTGTGTAAGTGTGAAGGTCTACTGAAATAGGTCTAAGTATAAACATCACAAGTAACATGGTGACTATGCATTTATAAGAATTGCATTTCTTACACGAATTGCCCGACTAAACTGGCAAATCAGGGGGTGTGCAAATATGTGAAAGTGTGTAAGTATGAAGGTCTACTGAAATAGGTCTACATATAAACATCTCAAGTAACATGGTAACTATGTATTTATACGAATTGCATTTCTTATACGAATTGCCCGGGTAAATTGGCAAATCAGGGGGTGTGTGCAAATGTGTGAAAGTGTGTTATGATATTATTAAACAATACTCGTATATGAATTTGTGAGAAAATATTAGTTGAGTTCGTATATGAAAAATAATGCTATCATTTAAGCACAATAACTTTCGAAACGTATTCAATAGGTAGAATCTATAATAGTTCTAAACAGCGCAGTAAATTGAAGTGAATGAAGTTGAAAATTAAAAGTGAGTTGTTGATGTAACACGAATTGTGAAATTATATCTGATCCTAATCTGGATGTATTGGCGGAAGTTACTGTAGATGTCCATTTTAGCTATTTTTACATACAACTTTTCTAGACCAATTTTTCCATTTTATTTTACCACCCACCTGATCTTTAAATTATCTTTCATTTATTTTAAATTTTAAATTTGCAGGGATACCATTGATGCTCCATTTATTTTGGTCTGTAATGTGTGTCATTTAATCACATTGTTTTTGGTTGAATTTGAAAATGTTGTAATAATTAGACCTAAGGTAGATTTAGGACATCCCACACTCGAGGCCGACCTCAGGTATGTCATCTACACATTGCTTTGCTTCTATTTTTTTTGTCTGCCGTTTCACACTTATATGTGTATATCCATGAAACAACCGTTTTGAATTCCATCAACAACTTATCATGTTTAATACGCAACATGATTTGGAGTTGCTATAGAGAGGTAGTTCTCTATAGTCTATACCCTCCCAAAATAAATATTTTCTCAAATAATATCAAAATGTTATTGGGCATCAATTTCTGAAAACGATAAAAAGTGATTCTTTAAATGTTTTTGCTTAAATAGATTTTGAAAATTATAAGAGTTAAAATGTTTGCATCAATTTGCATGAATTTCTAAAAAGTGATCAGTTACCTCAAAAACAAATTTTGCAAGTCACGACGGTCTTTTTATTCTCTGATTTTGAGTTTTGACATGTTCCAATTACACCTAATAATTGGAAACTTCCATTCTCACATGAATCAATCAAGAAGATTGTCACAAAAATTGTCATCTATTTTTGAATAGACCAAAATACTTTCCATGAATTTTCGACCCCTGTCACATTAAAAGTAAATTTAAATCAAATAACAACCAAAGCAATAATCAATTAAAATTTTTTGCACTACCTTCTTGAGTGCTAGTTCTTCTAGAGACATGAAAAGCCAGGTTCCCTATACTCTTATGCAATTAGAGTTTTGATATGCAAATGATAGTGAGTTGCCTCATGCATCCACATTGCATTTAAATAGATGAACGAATGCGTGTTGCCATCCGGGCGTTAGGAAACAATCAATGAGCTTCACTATTCCACCTCCAAAATTGACCAATAGGATTTAAGCATTTAAAGCATTGAGATTTTGTCATATATTTTCGTACTACATCACTATTTGGCCACCCACTTCCACCAATAAGATATTAGTATTTCAAGCAATTGCAATCCCCATATAATTTAAACCATGCGTACGTATTCTTACTTTTAAACTATACAGTGGCACCGCATGTTTGGCCAATAGCAACATTGTACTGTTCACAGATATTTTGTGTGAACAGTGTTTAAATCCTTTCTCAGCCAAATCTTTTCATTGCAACCTACTGCACCGATTTTTTGGCCAATTGAAAATGAACATCATTGATTTTAGCATGTGCACAACCGCATCATTGGAAGCCTGGTTTTTTTATTTTCTCGTGTGAGCAAATTTCCCTAGACAATGCACGTTTTGTATTTTTTTCTTAATTAAAAATTTGACTAAAAATTGTCCAATAGAAAACCTGCTTCTTGAGTTGGAAATCAAAATAAATCTCAACAGTAAGCTCATCTGAATTCATATACAAGAAAGGACCAATGAGAAAAATCATTAGTTGGCTGGAAAATCAAGATCAAATCCAAAAAGATATATTACCTAAAAAGTGACCAATGAAATAGGCCCAAAGTGGGTAGAAAATCTTGGGAAAATCACAACAGTACATCAACTTGCTGTATTTGAGTTCAACTTCAGCATGATTCTCCCACGTAATATTCAACAACTCCCAAAGTTGTACTATTATATTAATCCACTTAATACCAATTTCTTGACAATGACGTTTTTGAGGGGGAAAACCAATTCACAAAAAACTGTCTCTTTATATATTAATAGATATTACTAAAAATTGGATAAAAGATAAAAAAGTGATCTCTTTTTAAAAATTCTAAAAATGTGACTAACATCACACTATGTTCTTTCAGAAAATAAATATAGTCTCTTCAAAATTATAAAACAAGTAAATAGTAGGAAAACATCATTCATATTCCGTTATTTTTTAATGAAGTGGAAGGTTTTCTTACACAAAACAAATGAAGTGTCTCAAAACTTATAAGACAAGTGAAAATTGAGCATTGCAGCATCCTCAAGAAATTGAACGATAAAGGTTACACTGTCACACATGTAAGCATAAACAGCTTTGACTACCTCAATAGCGGGACTTCGTGGGGACCGCCGATCAACGACTCTTGGGCTTCTTTCCTTCGGTGTCCGGCTTGATTGATTAGGCGATGAAACAGATTCAGAATCTGCATTGATGGTTCTCACCTTCCGACTCGTCTTTGGTGTAGTAGGAGATGACCTTTGTGGCACATCCACAGTAGTTCTGCATTGATGAAGCATCAAACATTGTTGGATCATAATAAAATCAACTTTAATTTATTTTGTTTGCAGGACTGATGGTTACATTAGTTATGAACCTTGATGTCTTCAACTTTAGTAGCTCTTCATGTAACATTTAAAAAGGCATTTGTAACCCTTGAACATTTGTATGCAATCATCAATTAAGGGTCTGTTTGGTAATGTGTTTTGTAACATCCATTTCATCCAAATAAATAAATAAATAATTGCTTATTCTGCTACCAAACGGGGACCAAGTTATAACCCCTTTAGCTATTGAGGTGTGTGACTTTTTCATATTACATTAGGATTGTTTGATGGAAAAAGTTCAAACAAACCATTCACTAAGAGGTTTTAGACCAAGTGGGTGTTCAGTGTTGACAAGTGGTGGATTTTAGTACTTTTCAACTCTTTAGTAACATTTCTCCTTTTTCTTATAACTTCATTGTCAAATAGTTTATACCAAAAGAAACCTGAATTCAGTGAGATAGTCCTCATAAGAAATAGAGATAAGAAAAGGGGGAAATGATTCTAAAGGGTTTATTACTAGTAGTAGTAATAACATACATAAATGAAAACATCCACATTTATGTATTGTCCTCATAAGATAGTTTATTGCGAGTGAGACTACTAGATATAAGGCACCTCAAATAGAAATGGGATTTATGATTCGTGAATAACATTCTGAAGTCTGAACTCAAAATTACTTAGGAAGCAGTTTATTTAAAGTCCTACTTTAAACTTAAAGTAGTTTAAAGTACCTTTCTTAGGAAGCATTTTATGAAAAGTCCTAAATAGCCAGTAATAAAAACTTAAATACCTTGCTTTTGATGTTTGCATATTTAATTTTCACCAGAAGGATTTTTTCCCTTTCCCCAGAAAAAGCCCACCTGTCACAATGCACCAGAAATAGTTCAAACAAAGCCTCGTCTGAGACAACTTAAATAATATAGTCAACGAGGATTATACAAGATTGTACGCAATTCAAACAAACTACAGAATTGCTTCAAAGAGACAGCCATTGAAATCGCATCCAGGCTCCACACATACCAACGAAGACTATATAGAGACGAAGAACGTGTATACACTTTATATTGGCCAGTGAAGAAGAGTCCAGTTGTAATTAATTATATCTTATTTTACTTAACTAGTCTTGTAAAAAAACTTAACTAGTCTTGTAATTATAGTGAAGGGGAGCCTATGCGCACTGGGTTAAGGTGTTGATGTGTGACAGAGAGGTCACGGGTTCAAGTCTTGGAGCGACCTCTTGTAAAAAAACTCACAGGGGAAGGTTTGTCCCTTATACACCCTTGTGGTGGGACCCTTACCCGGACCCTTGCCTTGTGAGGATGCCTTGGTGCACCGGGCTGCCCTTTTTAGTCTTGTACTTATGTTAAGACACACACTCTTTTTATTTAATGACAGGTCTCACTGTATTCACTTGTAAATATGGCTCAGCTGTATACATTTTCATAAACTAGTCTTGGAATTATGGTAAGACACACACTCTTGTTATTTAATGACATGTCTCTCTGTATTCACTTATAAATATGGCTCATCTGTATACATGTTCACAAACTTTTCCAAATTACTCTTCATCCGTTACCCGATTCTCACATAAACTGCCCAAAGTAAAAGGAAAAAACGAGGAAAAGAAAGCTAAAAAGAATAGTAGTTCTAGATAAGGAGTAAAAGCCATTTATTCACTTGATGTTCTTTCCTTTTTCTTATATTCTACCTCTTAGCCTACAATGCACAGTAAAATTCAATCGGGGAGACACTCAAATAATTTCTTGAAGTTAAATGGGCAGTTTATATGCATGAACTGCCCAATTAACTTTAAGAAATTATTTGAGTGCCTTCCCGATTGAATTTTTAGCTGAAATTTGGTATGGATAAACTAGACTTCATGAAGAACATGCTCAAAAAATTCATCAAAAAATTCCACCGGGAAGTGCCCGAAATGCGCTCGGCCGGACGGAGCATCCCGTCAGGCCGGCCTGACATGAAGATTTATCAGCAACAAAGTGCGATTCACATATTAGAGACAGTCAAGGCATACGAAGCAGTGTAGCGGTGTAGCCAAATTGATAATTATCCCATTAGTACACATGATACTCTACTGCATGCATCGAAAGTTATTAAACTTACATATTATTTTTAAATTTCAAATATTTGATTTTTATTGATATTAATACACGTGAAACTCTAATGTATGCATCGAAAGTTATTAAACTTACGTATTGTTTTTAAATTTCAAATATGTAATTTTTTTATCTTGCGCAATATTTTTTGCATGTAATAATTTTCCGTGCATCGCACGGGTAGAATACTAGTTTCTTATAAACACCTCCTAGTTGCCTGTGTACACAGACTGCTCGTTCAGAAGTTCATGTACCATAAATAAATGTGTACAAGTTATGTATAGTGACCTTCCATTAATGTCTTTATTCAAAAGTATGAAAGAGAAACATAATAATTGGAGTACCACCTAATGAAGTTCTTCTTTTGTAGGGGTGAAACCTTTTTTACGATAGGGAAATTCCCTAAATAGGATCCAATCAAACTTTAAATTGTTAAAATGTGAGTATAACTTTAAATTTCTCTAGATAAGAGTAGATTTCCAATTCTCTATATTTTAATTAATAATTAAAATATAAAAGTAATAGTAACATAATTTTATTTATAACATAAATGTAAAAAAGATAAAAACACAAAAATTATTTAATAAACAAAGTTATTAAAAATAAAAAGTAGAAAAAATAATACTACGTAATATATTTTAAAAAATTAAAATAAAAAAAAAGTAAAAATGTAAAAAAAATGCATGCCTTGCTGCCGCCTCAACTACCTCCTAGCACCACTAGCTCCAATCACCATAACAAATGCTAAATGTGTCAGTAATGTTATCTTGATGGCAGTTTCAGAGAAAAATTTGGCATTTTGAAAGAATAATAAAGTCATCCTCGTGGCATTTTAGAGAAAAAATAATATTTTCAAACAAACTGCATTTTTCACTGATCGGAGGTGGCAGAGGTTGCAAGAAAGGTTGCTATATTTTTTTAATTTTTTATGTGTTTCATATGTTTTTATTTAGTTTTAAGATTTTTTTATTTTTTTAATTTTTATTTACCTTTTGTTCTTTTTGTTTTTTTAATATTCTTTTATGATTTTTGTATAAATTATTTTTTTTTTACTATTTTTATGTGTTTATTACAAATTAAAATATTATTTTTCTATTAAGTTATGGTAAGGGTAGAATAGGAATATAGAGTATAATTTAGTCCTATTTTGCGAAAATAAATATTATACTTATATTTGTGCATTTAATGATTAGTTTACTCCTATTTAGATTATTTTCCCTTTTTACCATTCAATTATATTAGAAAGAGGAATACAAATTTATTTTTCGTGAAAACTTGAAAAAGAAAGTGACGATTTGATTAGCCTAGTTAGTTAAATATGGTACCGGTATTAAACGAGTTTTAATACATACCCGGTTTATTCGGTAATGTGAATAAAAAAATGGTCAAAAAATAATTGAAAAAACGTTGACTTATAAAAAAATGTGTTCCAGTTAAACTACATGTGGGGTTTATTCGGGGTACCATATTTTTAATATGGTACCAGTTAAAAAATCTGAACACAAAATACGGGGTTTATTTTGAACATATAAACTATATACATCACAATTTAACATCTAGTAAAAAGAAATAAAAGTATATACACATATTGAAGTAGCAAAATTGATTATTACTTGAAAGATTTATTCGTAATTTCTTAAGTCAACGACAAAAATAGAAATAGTTATTAAGTCCAATAAATAATTTCGCAAAATATTGTCAAAAAATAAGGCATACTAATGGAGAATGAGGGGAGTTTTGATTTTGCACCCCACTTTTTGGGAGATATTAAACTTTGCACCCCATCGTATAATATTTTGGGGAGAAAAATTTCTAAATGGGATGCAAAGTCACAGCTTTTAAGAAAAATGAGGTGCAAAGTCCAATATCATCCAAAAAGTGGGGTTCAAAGTCAAAACATTCCTAGAATGAGACCAAGTTAACATCATCTTTATATGATACTTTGTATCAAATAACACTCAAGTTAAACTCATTATTTGTATCAAGACGTCGGATGCCATATGAGAAAGTTGTGTGATTGCTATGCATATTAATGTGTAAACGTTTATACTAACAAATGTCATGTTTAAAAAAACTTAATTTTCATATGCTTGTTAGGAAAAACATCATAATCTAGTAGTTTTTAAGTTTTAGTCTTTTAGGATGCTAGTTCTATCCATCATGCAACTTATTTTAGTATTTAATGATTGTATATTTTATATTGCGAGAACACAAAAACACGGGTCTCGAGGAGAAGGTTTTCGTATTTGCTTTTAAACTATTGTTGATCCCTTATTTATTTAGTGCATTCATTTAATTGATCGATTCGTGTTTCTATTTTTGTAAAATACGAAAAATATACGTTTTTATGTGAAGTATGAATTGTTTCCTTAAGAAAGGATACGTGTTTAAAATGCATTTAAAACACAAAAAAACTAGGTTGATTGGAATAAAGGAAGGACTTCGAAAGTCATTTTTTTTGTGATGGCGGAAGATTGGCAGTCACTTTAGAGTTTAGACTTGAGTGTGGGGAATCAATACCTTTAAATGCCTTTCTGACGTGTATTCGTTGAACTTAACAAAATCATCCCTTTAAATGCCTTTTTGACGTGTATTCGTTGAACTTAACAAAATCATCCATCTTTTTTCCGTCTTTTCCCATTTCGCTAGAGCCTAGATGTCAAGCATTTTGAGTAAAATTTTGATTCACCAATTCTTTTGTTGGCGAAACATCACGAGTAAGACTACATCCAAATACTTGCAGATGTTTAAGCATTTTTATAATATTTTATCACGAGTAAAATTCTTTTGTTTATTCATATTTTTATAAATATGAAATTTATCCCTTTTAACACTCATTATCTACACTCATTATCTACAAGTTGAGTTATGTCCATCGACAACGAATATATATATATATATATATATATATATATATATATATATATATATATATATATATATTAGGTTTATAGATATTGAGATGATTAGTAGTGAAATTCTCACATGCTAAACTTAACTTATAGCAAAAAAAATTAAAGACTAAATTAAATATATACTCAGTAACTTGTTATCAATTATTTTTACTATGTTGAATTCCCAGTTTCCCACTCAGCTCTTAACATACTACGTAGTAATTTTTATTATGTAGTACGGAGTACACAATTGTATCAGGGTCGCGGTGCATGTTGTTTCGATCACTCTACCTCATACGAAATCAGATTTAAAAAGAAAATCAAATTACAACAGAAAATGTGAGTCGAGTAGGATACTAGTATGAAGTATAAGCTATATTTCCAAGGTGAGTATAAGCTAATAATTCCAAAACATATTTACTCATATTTTGGAAAATCTGAGTATAATTTATCTTAAAGAAACATTTATGTACAACATTAGTTGACGTTAAAATTTTTGAAGTTACCGGCCCGTGGATAATAAAAGCAGTGACAAAGCGCTAAATAATACCGATCCCTCTAATACATATATGGTCCACTCTTTCTTTTTCTTCTCTGGAATAGTGATTTGCATCATGTTTCTTTTTCCATAGCTTTATCTACTTTATTTTTCTTTTCTTCTCCTTCATCAAAGTACTTAAATATAATTGCAAATTTACTTTTCTTTATTAATCTTCAACTTAAATTACAACTCAATCTATTTTTTCTTTACTTTATCAATGCACAATAAAAAAATTATTAATCTAAATAAAATAAGTATATTGCATTTCATATTCATACGCTATTTCTATGTTTTTATATTCATACACTTTTTTGTAATATTTTTTTTTATATTCTTACAATTTTCTTCTACAATTTTTTTTATCTCTTTTATATGTTTTTAGAGATCCTTTGAGAAATTGAGTTTGTTTATTTTGATTCATGTAGTTATATTTGATAGTATATGGAGTTACATCTTCTTGTACACATTTTACATTTTCATGTGCGCGGGTTACATCTTCGTATGCGCAAGTTACCTTCTGATGCGCAAGTTTTGTGATGGAGTTATATGGCCCAGGGACCCCCAGCCCACATACTCTTACTCCTCCTAAACAGGCCCAATAAACCCAATAAGCACGTGAAGCCCATATACGGCGGCCCAAGCTTGAAGGAGCCCATGACACACATAGGGGTGCCTTCAGCACCATGGCCGAAGGCACGAAATTCCAGGAGATAACTATTTTTGGGCCCACGAAACTACTGGGAGATTCTGGCTGAAACAGCAGCCTTCGGCACATATACCGAAGGATCTCCACTTAGCGAAGATCTGTCTGAGGACAGGCAACCACCGCATTCAATACGGTGTCACATCCAACCACCGCATTTAATGTGGTGCCACATGCAGTGCCGTCGCCAGCTGGCTGAAGTGACCCTCCACCATTGGTTACTTGACACGTGTACTCACATTTAATGCGCCTAGCATTTATGGCTGTTATAAATAG